GCCTGTTCCGAGTACCTATGTGCATGGAGGTGCCACGTGGTCTCCCGCGATCCTAGCCTGAACCCCCCGTAAGAACATGCCTGTTCCGAGTACCTATGTGCATGGAGGTGCCACGTGGTCTCCCGCGATCCTAGCCTGAACCCCCCGTAAGAACATGCCTGTTCCGAGTACCTATGTGCATGGAGGTGCCACGTGGTCTCCCGCGATCCTAGCCTGAACCCCCCGTAAGAACATGCCTGTTCCGAGTACCTATGTGCATGGAGGTGCCACGTGGTCTCGGAGCGTGTGTTTCACGTTACCCTCGTTTACTGTCGATGCAATGAATCACTACCACGCGCTAATTGCCACGTGGGAGGTTAGTGATCACTCTTCCCCCTTGCCACGAACAAACCATTACACTGGCAATGGGGGTGTCCGGGTTTCAGACGTCTCTATCCAAGAGCGCTTACTCGAACGGAAAGGGGCGCCACTGCTTCGACTCGGACAGAGGTAAGGTAGTATTCGCCTGAATCCCATTACGGAACAACCTTCGTACTTGACGGACTTCGTCAGGCCCACCATTACCCGATATACAGGCGTCGTATACCGACGGAGAGGTGTGATCCTCACCCGTGCCTGTGTTCAATCGGTCTCACGTGCGGAAAGCATTACATCGCAATAACCGTCTTACAGTGTCCCTAGGATTGACACACAAGGCTATCTGACCGATTCGTCCGTGGAGTGCAACTTGCGTGGATGAGAATTGCCTTACGTGCCTGCTCTTCGGGGTTACTGTCCGTAACCAGCCGAGGCTAAGGAAAGGGTAACGCCTTTCCTTTTCCAGCAACCGGCCAATTCATCCAACCACCCGTGACACCTAGCTATGCCTAGCGTGTTACACACAGACCGCATAACGTTAATAGTTATGGCGGGAACTCTTCCCGGTCTGCGTGATGATATGGCACAGACTGCACGGTTTTGCCAATAACCGTGGCGGGCAAGCTCTTGATGCCCGGCCTGACAACACGCCCCGTGCTCACTCAGGAACTGCCGAAGACCGGGTTGACGGGTATGTACCCCCGTCGCCCCTTGTCAGGGCGATTCGCTGCTCCACCCGTTAGACTTGCCCACGGGGCAGACGTGCTGGGGCACGGTGGGGCGAGCGACTCAGCCTTCCACCGTCCACTCATACTGACGTCCTGCCGTCTTGGGACAGCCTCAAACGGGGAGATACTCATGTAGCATCGCTGAGCGATGAGCATGGGACTCATGGCTCACGACCGGGAAACCCATGGTTTCCGGCTGGCCTCCCACATAATAGTCGGGCGATGCATCCATCAGCCCCAGCCCCGCCGTTACTCTGCCATCCCAATTCCGAGAAGCCCGCTCTGCCGCCGAGACTTGAGGGGCCTTGGCACTTATCTCCTGCCGGGTAGAACTATCTACTGGCAGGCAGACGCCAAGGACATCATCCCTCGTTGGAAAGGGGACACTGCGACGTGTCTTTTTCAGTGCAGGACGTTTCGGTGCAGTGGCAGCGGACGTACGCTCAGCCACTGCAACACTAGGGGTCCTCACAGCCCCTGCAACCACAGCCGGGTGCCGCCGCGCGGCACCAGCCGCACGCCTGCTTACTGCCCGGACCTGGTAGCGAGTGGCATTTGCTTAGAGCACAAGCCAACACGACCCTGCCGGAAGTACAGTTACTGCTGTCTGGAATCCACCAGCACATGGGCTGTCTTCCTGCTCGCTCTTTGTGTGAATCGCCTACGATTACCCCCTTCCGTGTTTTCGAGTCTTGCCCGACTCGGCAAGGGCTTGACTACGGAGTTGCGACAACAAAAGCGGTGCCAATGATATTGCCTATAAAAAAACGCGTTGACTTCAACAATTTCAAATACAAAGAAAGGAACGCGGAATACTGAAAACTTCACCCCGTCGTGAACATACATCGCGCTAGCGCAACCCCAGGCCCGTCGTGACAAAAACCACAACAATGCATCTACGTCAAACTAACGCCACAGGTAAACAACAAAACAGCCATAGCACGCGCGCAATACTTATGAACGTAGCTTTTATCATTTATTTCATTTTAACTCATGACATTCAGTTTATATTCAATTGCACCGCGCATCAATACACGTGTAGGTAGCATGCGCAAATGAAACCACTGGCACGCGCAGCATAGTTCAGCCGCATTCACATCTCCAAAATAACTATTACACTATACATCAATAATAGTATAACGTTTAAACACGTCCTCCCTGTGGCCGAATCCTTATCCGGAGAAAGGATAACCCCTACCGCAAAAGATTACGGTTCAAACCCCGTGGGGGCAGCGAAACTTTTTATCTCTTGTCCTAACCATCGTAAACTCACTATAGAAATACAATGCTAGCGCATATATCAACTTCTAAATAGTAGCAATTGTGCCTGTCGGCACGGCGGAGGATGGATAGCGGGCCTCCGGCCGCTGGTCCTGGGTAGGTGAAGCGCTCGCCAGGGTATCAACATCTTGGGCCTGGGGGGGCGTGCACCAGAAATTGCTTATCAGAAAATAGCTTGCATATAAATAGCGCTACGTAGATAGAGGGGCCGCCACCTCAGGCCGCTTTGCCGCCACCAGTAAGTCATAGCTTCCAGTCACACAAACCGCCCAGGCATAAGCAGACGATCACGATGAATTACGGCTAAGGATTATGCATATTAGTTGAACTCGGCCGAATTACCAGTTAGTGTATACATATGTGCCCCAGCCAGTTGTGAATCGAACAGCCTACATATCATCAACTACAAGCTCGCGGTATGTGACCAGTTTGCTAATGTTTACATTTTTCCCTGCCATATCTTGCCTCCACACTATGAATAGCGCTCTGAATTATATACATTATTTACATCACATAGCATTCATAAATCACATTATTCATACATTCATACATTTACATATTACCTTACATATCATGCCGCTTTATATCGGAGCCAACCGACATTACTACAGACGTGCATAATATATGAAAAAAACAAAAGATACCATATTCGCGTTTTTACGTCCCATCATGCCTCTCTGCGACACGGAGCTTCGCAGCCCAATCGGCGGTCGAGGCTTGCTGCCTATGAGGACGCGGTTAGCAACTTCCATGTGCGTACTGTCCGTCTCAGCCAGCTAAAGCAGTTCCCATGCTCGAGCACCGCCGGTTCTCTCCTCACCGCGGATCCCAGGGGTAGACTCGTCGCTTCTCCATGCACACGCCCCTCCTTTAGCGGAGCCCTTGCGCCACCTGTCACCTTCCGCTGGCCCTCCGGAATAGTTCTGGTGTCCGAAATCTAACTCCTTTTCAACGGCGCAGCAGGATGGTAGGCGTTGCGTCGCGAGACTTATGCATGTGGTTGTCACGTGGTTAAGCCACGTAATCATCAAACAAGATACAGGGATTCACGTCGCGTGACTTAGTCACGTGGTTATGCCGCCAAGTCGCGTGACGTAGGTGAAACCTTACATCCAAATCCCGTTGGAACGCGGATCACGTGATCCTGGTGACCCTTGACCGCTACAGATAGATAGATAGATAGGTGGGTAGATAGATAGATAGGTGGGTAGATCGATAGATAGATAGGTGGGTAGATAGATAGATAGATAGATAGATCGATAGATAGATTCGGGCGATTTTGGATAGTGCGTCTTTGGAATAACGCGTATGGTTCTCGGTGTACACCGTGGTTCTAGTGTGGGGATACACGATATAGTCTCCCGTTACCCTATAATATTTGATGCCGTTATTCCATCAGATTTTCACATATTCTGGTAGACGTACACTGCGCCGTTATACTGGTATAATATTAGGGAACGTACCATTAATAAACAAACAATTTTTCAGAACAGTATTCTCTGTGGAAGTATTTGACGTTGTTTACACTACAGTACTACATGTATATCTGTGTCAAGTGTACTTGGAATCGTGCAATCTCGTGTTTTACTTGTAGGCTTACGTCTATTTGTAATCTTGTGATTAGTATTACACCGTGATTAGTATAAGTCCACGAGTGTGCGCAGTAGCATGGATTATAATAAAATATCTACGTTAACTAAAATTTAGATCGTTTATTATATGATGAGTTATTTGAAAGCTGCGTCACAATATTCCTTTTCAAATCGTCGTAGTTTTCAGTAAAAGGTAATGTGCTAAGACACTACTTTGCCGTGAATCACTCTGTTGCCGGCCGGGATTTGAACACGGGCTATGGCTTCCCACACGGCTATAACGGGCGCCCCATGTCTGCAATACGTTTACCTTTACACAAGTTCGAATATTTTAGCAAAGATTTAACGCGGGATTCGAACTCCGGTTTCATAGATGGAAGGCCAGAGATCTAACAAGATGTACTAACGAGACACTCGTGTAGAGCCAGGTTGTTTTACATATACGTATATATATATAGCCACTCTACGTTTCTTACTCTTCCTTACTCCCCTCTCGCGGATAGTATCGCCCACGACCAGTCAAGCATGGAAAAACTTTCACCAGCAAATGGCCGTATTTCGACTTAAAGTTTTTCACCCCCCCCCCACGTGACCTTGACGCCCGCTTCCTGTCTCTGGAGCGTGACCTTGACGCCCGCTTCCTGTCTCTTGATCGTGACATTGACCGCTTCCGGTCTCTCGACCGTGACCTTGATTGCCTCCTCTTGTCTCTGGAATGTGATCTAGATCGTGAACGCCTCCTGTCCCTTCGAATCCTAGATCGTGACAACGATCTCCTTCTATCCCGTATGTTTCTGTTTCTCGAGCGAGACCTCCTTCTGTCTCTTAGAATTCCGAATGCTCCTTCCTTCCTATTTCTAGACCTGGACCTTACCCTCCTCTTATCCCTCCGGTCCCTGGACATTGACCTCTTCCTATCTCGCCTATTTCGCGATCGCGACATTGACCTCCTTCTGTCTCTCGACCGTGACACTGACTTCCTCCTATCTCTCCTGTCTCTTGATCGTGACCTTGACCGCCTCCGGTTTCTCGACGGCGACCTTGATTTCCTCTTGTTTCTCGATCGCGACCTTGACCTCCTCCGGTTCTTCGAATGCGACCTCGACTTCTTCCCTTCTTTCCCGTCTCTAGACCGCGACCTCGCGCTGTCGCCCGAGCGCGACCTTGACCTCTCGACCTTGCAAACGTCCGCCTTATCGCTCGAACGCGACCTCGAACACTTCCCGTCTCGACCTTGACCCGCCGCATCTGCCGGCCGATCCGGCTCGCGCGGCCCTTGCATCTTGCCGGCTGCCGAGTCTCTCGACGCTGCCCTCTCTCGGCCCACGGACGGCGACCCGTCTCTCTCTGCGCACGGCGACTCGGATCTCTTCTCGAAGGACGGCGGCGCGCGGACACCCTCTCCCTCTCCCTCCCCCGGCGGCAACGGGGGCGGCGACGGGGGCGGCGGCGGAGGGCTGCCGTCCGGGGAGGAGGCGCTCGATTCGCTCATGGCCGCGGCGGGAGGTGGAGGGGTTCCCTCGTCGCGCGGATCGGCCGTGAGGGCGCCGGCGGGCGCCGCCGGCCCCGCCACAACCTGCCACTGGTACGGCGGCGGCAGCGGCAAATCCGCTATGCTCTCACCAGGGGGCGTGGAAGGTCGACGCAACTCAAAGTTGGCGCAAACCATGGCACTCTCGTGGCGTTCCAAGCAGATTTAGCGTGTACTAAGGGTCGGGAGTGTTTTCCCGCCATTTTTACCGAATGCAGTGCCCATGGCACTGCTCTGTGATTGGTCAGTTTTCTTCAGCGCTCGGCGGTGGGTCGGATGGCCACGCCCACTATCTGAGTCGCGTCGTAAGCCCTCGCACACTATACGACCCGCTCCGCTCCCGATTCAAAATTCGAATCGGGCCAAAATGACCTCCCGAGTCAAACTTAAGCCTCTCGATCGCGCTAAAATCGGATAGTGTGCGGCTAGCATTAGCTGACGCGACATTCTCAGCTACGACTCTACTGAGGCCATGTGGCGCCATCCAGTGGATGTAAGCAGTCGGGAAGCAATAGTTAATTAACCTCTCAACACGGAGTGTTGTCAACGCGACAGTCTCGACTACTGAGTCTGCTGAGGCCATGTGGCGCCATCTAGTGAACGTAAACTTTGCAAAAATGGCACCAACGTCTTTTCCAATGAATCGAGCAAGCGGAACCACACGCCGCAGCACAGAGTGTTAAGTTAAGCCCATTAAAGTTAAGGCCCATTATCAGTAACAGAATTAGTGTTACCAGTAGTCTTAACAAGAACTTTTTCTCGTAGGCGGGACCTCTTTACACTGCGCACAAGACACCCGTAACTTTATGACGTTTCTGCCAACGGTCCGTGAGAATAGTAGCTAATGCTGGCACAATGCTAAAATGAGGGTTGTATTGTCAGAAACTAAATTAAACTCAACAATAGCCTTAACACCATCATTTTCTCGTAGGCCGTCGACAGAATCAGAATTTCGTTTTAAAAAGTTACGAACAAAATTTCACAAAACTTTTCACGACGGTAAAACTTTACGACGTTTCCGTCAGCGGCCTACGAGAAAACTTTAAATTTTCAAAGACTAATGCCGGGACAAATTCTAGTTTCCACATTACCTCGTCCTTGCTCTTGCCGACGGACGACCACAGCAGCTTGCGTTTCTGCATCTGCTCGGCGTATTTCAGCGGGTTCACGGCCGCTGGGTTGTAGTACTTAGGAAGCTGTACGCCTGCGACAAGATAAAGACGATCGACGATGAAGGCACTACGAGAGATGGCAGTGATCGGGTGAAGCATGTATAGACAGGAGGAAGAAGGGGAAGGGGAGGGAACGAGGAAATGGGTTAGGGCTCACCGGGGGTGGGGGAGGAGAGGAGGGGGAGGAGGGTCCACGGCCGCTGGGTTGTAGTACTTAGGAAGCTGTACGCCTGCGACAAGATAAAGACAATCGATGGCTTATGCATCTCCTCCATGGATGGGAGGGGGGAGGGACTTACCTGTCATTTCCAGCACCTTCTTGTGCATCTCCTCCATGGACGGGAGGGGGAAGAAGAGGGGAGATGAGGGCAAGAGGAAGGTAGAAGGGGAGGAGGGGAGGGACTTACCTGTCATCTCCAGCACCTTCTTGTGCATCTCCTCCATGGACGGGAGGGGGAAGAAGAGGGGAGATGAGGGCAAGAGGAAGGTAGAAGGGGAGGAGGGGAGGGACTTACCTGTCATCTCCAGCACCTTCTTGTGCATCTCCTCCATGGACGGGAGGGGGAGGAAGAGGGGCGATGAGGGCAAGAGGAAGGTAGAAGGGGAGGAGGGGAGGGACTTACCTGTCATCTCCAGCACCTTCTTGTGCATCTCCTCCATGGACGGGAGGGGGAAGAAGAGGGGCGATGAGGGCAAGAGGAAGGTAGAAGGGGAGGAGGGGAGGGACTTAACTGTCATCTGCAGGACCTTCTTGTGCATCTCCTCCATGGACGGGAGGGGGAAGAAGAGGGGCGATGAGGGCAAGAGGAAGGTAGAAGGGGAGGAGGGGAGGGACTTACCTGTCATCTCCAGCACCTTCTTGTGCATCTCCTCCATGGACGGGAGGGGGAAGAAGAGGGGCGATGAGGGCAAGAGGAAGGTAGAAGGGGAGGAGGGGAGGGACTTACCTGTCATC